GTGTATGGTGGGAGCTGGTGGGGGGGGTGGGGGATGGGGCAGGGATGGACAGGAAGAAAAGTGGTTGAAGTGTAAGGATGGGGGTCCTTGAGCAGGTCTTATCACTCACTTAGGATATGAAGGGCTTGAACTCTCTTGTTCTTGAACTCCTCCTGTTCATACTGTCAAGGCCAATTGACAATATGAACAGGAAGATGAAGAGAAAGAGCCAGCAGCATTGGAGTCTGGAAAGCAGGGCCTGCCTGCACCCACTGACCAGTGCTGGAGTTTGAAGAGCACACAGAGCAGCTATATAGAAATCTCACCTAGAATTCGCCTTAATGCCACGAACCCCACAAGACTTACTTTGGGAACTCCCCATTTGAAATGGCATCTGGCTGGTGGCCCTTGGCAGCCTCTCTCCAACTTCTTCCTAAATTATCCATGAAGATAAGTCAGCTAAAAAACACAGGCACCTACTATGTATCTGGATGGGACATGTAAAAAGATAAGTGAAATAGTAAGTTAAAAAAATAAAAGGCAGATTGTGAAGGAAAAGGTTACAGGTAGCGGAAACCCAATACTATTTCTATTAAAATGTTACCAGGCCATAGTTTTTTGCTTCCATTCATATCTTTAGTCATTTCAACAAACATCTTTTCATTCTGTGAGTGTGAAGACATTTCACTCTACTTTTTTTCTTTTTTCAAAAGATGGGTCTTTGATGTTCCAGCAAGTGCCCATGGTGGAAATCGATGGGATGAAGCTGGCACAGACCAGAGCCATTCTCAACTACATTGCCGCCAAATACAACCTGTATGGGAAAGACATAAAGGAGAGAGCCCTGTAGGTATTTTTTCTGTGTTTTTCATCAACAATTAATAACAATTTAGATTCTTCCTTGAATGAGCTGGATTGTGTCAGGGGATCATGACCACCAGCAGCATATCCCTTGGACGTAAAGGCTGAGGTCCAGGCCAGCAGGGAGCATGAGGAGGAGGGATTCCACTTCTTAGAGAAGAAGACTCAGTCCATGGCTGTAGCACAGGCAGTGACAGAGGTTTCCAAACCCTGGTGAACTATGAAGCCAGGAGGGTGGTGGAGTCATGACTCCAGGTGTTCAGGCTAATTAAAGAAGAGGCTGAGGGAGGAGCTAATCTTCAAGTTCCAGAAATTACAGGAATAGTTACGAGGAACCTAATTTATCAGCCAGTTGTGTGGCCTGGCCACTTGACAAAGGTTTGTAAAGTTTGGTGCCCAAGATGCTACGGTTACCTGGAGCATTTTGATGTAAGTACTGAAGCAGCCAGATTTACTCAATACAACTACATCTGGGGAGGGGTCTCCTCCCTGTTGTGATGGGACCACATGGTTGAAACTAAAATCGTGTAAGGAACTATCTACCCAAAAGCGTTAAACATAGATTTACCATGTCAGCACCTCCACTACTAAGCATGCATGTACCCAGAAGAATAAAAAATACACTCAGACTTGTACAAAAATGTTCATAATACCATTGTTCATAATATTCAAAAAGGGGAAATGACAAAAGTGTTCATCAACTGATGAATGGATGAGCAAAGTTTTGTGTATCCATAGAATGTAATATTATTTGGCCATGAAAAGGAATGACAGTGGATAAGCCTTGAAAACATTACGTTGCATAAAAGAAACCAGACATCAAAGGCTCATGTTGTATGATGTCATTCAGATGAAGTGTCAAGAACATTTCTTTTCACAGAAACAGAAAGCAATTTTGGTTTTCAGGGGCTGGGGGACAGTAGGGTGTGGGTAGAGGGGGGCAAACCCTAGGTAGCATTTCACTGGGTACATGCAATGACTCCACCATTTCTCTACGCCTGTGACTCTGGAAACCTCACTGATGTTCTCTGTCAGTATATTTGGTCATGGGCATAACAAAAATTTTAGACATAGATTTCCACCTTGATATTAAATGTTAAAATTTGGTGAATATCACAGCTGAATGACTGGCATATAAAAATGCACCCAGTAGAGTTGCCCTCTCCTGTTTCTCCATTCTCTTACATTTTTAAATTATAACATGTAAGGCAGGTGACAGTTGACAATTGGGTCATTTTTAAAAAGGAAAACCTCTTATAGGAAGCCCAGTGAGGCACACTAAAAACATATCTCCTGGAATATGCACTGGTTGTCTTTCAGGATTGATATGTATTCAGAAGGTATGGCAGATTTGAATGAAATGATCCTGCATTTGCCACTATGCCCACCCCATGAAAAAGATGCCAAGATGACCCAGATCAGAGAGAAAACAACAAATCGTTATTTCCCAGCCTTTGAAAAGGTAAGTGGGCTGGTCAGTGTTTGGGGAACTGAGACTAGAGGACAAAGAGAACTGGTACCTGGGCAGTCCTGCATCTTTGACCTTCACTTCCAATGAGCCCCCCTGACTACTGATGGAGCACCCTGACTCTCCCAGCCTATTATCAAAATCAGCTGTGGGGAGGATATGTACCAGTTATACCCAAGTTATAATCTGTCAGCAAAATTTCTCTTTTTTTTAAACAAATATATTTTTACTGCTTTCAGAGTGGAAGGGAGAGGGAGAGAGAGTTAGAAACATCAATGATGAGAAAAAATCATTGATTGACCGCCTCTGCACGACCCACACTGGGAATTGAGCCTGCAACCCGGGCATGTGCCCTGACCATAATCCAACCATGACTTCCTGTTTCATAGGTCAGTGCTCAACCACTGAACAACACCGGCTGAGATAAAAGTTCAATTTACTAGGACCTGATTTCGATTCTCTATTTGATGGCATTTTATGGCCACATTTAGAGTGTGGGCTGTGGAAGGCTCTGGGAGTCAAACTAGCGATTGGAGTAGATTTGGCAGAACACCATGAAGGGGCTTTTCATCCAAGAGAAGCAGGAAGAAAGCAACTTATCAGAAAATATGCTGGCAACATGCATAGGAAACATGAGACCAATTGCCCAACAGTGTTTCTGGGATGGATGAGAAGTATCTAAACAGAGATGGGGGCAGTGGGATGGAGAGGATGAGACAGATGAAAAAATGTTAAGGAACATACAATCTACAAAATATATTGTCAGACTTTAGAGGAAAGCTATGCAAACTAAGGAAATAAAGTTCCATGATTTTGTATGTAGTGCAGACCATAAATTTTCCCTTTGAAGGTAAAAAAAGATTTCAAGATCCAAATGTCCTGAGATCAAACTAAATAAAAATTATGAACCAAAATAATGATTGTAAGGCTATAGGAGGCTTATGTATGAAAAGGCTTAACACTAACACTCTCATCTTTATAAAGCATTAAAAAGTACTTACGAAACATTCTTTCATTCTACAAATTTTAATTCATTACTTGTGTGTTCGTCCATATTCAAAGAGTGAAAAATTTAATATAATCTAATAATACACCCTCCTGGGCCTTGTGGTGCTGAGAGTTTAGGGGACATTCACTCAATGACAAGGTCAGTAGGCACTGTCCCCCAGTCCTTTCAGCCCAGCTGGGGAAGGTGCATGGCAGGTGCACAGTGTGGTTGGACCCACCCTCAGCCCCCCAGCCGCCCAGGGCCACCCGAGGCTCAGGTAACCCGGACTGGTCGAAGCTTGCGCTGCTGGCAGTGGCAGCAGCAGAGGTGTGATGAGGGCGTCACCTTCCCCTGATGGTCGGGTCACGTCCCACCCCTGAGGGCTCCTAGACTGTGAGCAGGCCGGGTTGAGAGACCCTCCCCCCTCCAGTGCATGAATTTTCATGCACCGGGACTCTAGTATTTTAATAAATATCATACATTTCCCCAAAACTTTTATTATGAAAAATTTCATACATTCAGAATAATTAAGCACATATGCACCCACCATGGGGATACAAACATTAATCTTTCATTATGTTTGCTTTATCATGAGTTTCTATCACTCAGTCCCTCTCTCTATCAAACAGACATTGTTTTTGGATAAATTACAAAGTGTGTTTCAGGTATCACTGCAGTGCACATCTAGACATTTTAGCAGCAGATCATAACATAGTGCAACCTAGGAGACAGTGCCCATATTGCAAGAGAGATGGTGAGTTCAAGTTGACCCAGGTTTGCATGAGGTTCCAAAGAGATAGCTCAGGAAATGAGTAGAACAGACAGAAATGAGTAGAGGAGAAATGTAGGCTCTGATATAGTCTGCTTGGGATTGAAGAAGGATGTTCTAGAGATGGATTTTTGCCCAAGTGAGAGAGGAGACAGAGAGAAGGAAAGAGAGAGAGAGAGAGAGAGAGAGAGAGAGAGAGAGAGAGAGCCATGTGCTAAAGTTCAGGACTCCAAAGGGGAGGGCAAGGGGTCAACAGACACACACCCAGTGCTAGCCCTGGGCCAGACCAAGATGCACAGAGGGAGCTCAGTGATGTGGGAAAAAGAAAAAGAGATGGTAGGTAGCCTGGGCATCAGCTGAGGAGTGAGGAGAGAACAGCAGAGACCCACTTCTCTCTGTTTCACTGAGTCAGGGGCAATGAATGTGGTTTGATGCTCCTCACGTGCCCAGTTAGGCAGCACAGGTGGGAAGCCAGGGTGGAGAGACCTGGGCAGGAGCAGGGGACCCAGCCTGAGTGCACCTGTGTTCATAATCTGCTCTTTCCAATTCACCAGGTGTTGAAGAGCCATGGACAACACTACCTGGTTGGCAACAGGCTCAGCAGGGCTGACATTCACCTGGTTGAACTTATCTACTATGTTGAAGAGATTGACCCCAGCCTAATGGCCATCTTCCCGCTGCTGAAGGTGACCCCTTTCACAGCCCTGGGGAGGGAAGGTCCACATCCCCCATCTTGGAATCTAATATCTGGCCTCTTGGACTGGCGATGTTATGATCACGTCATTTTCCAGGCTCTGCTGCCCCCAGGTCTCCAAAATTTGCTTTAGGCCCTGGTCTGAGGCAGGAAATGAATCTTGTTCTGCCAACGAAATTGGAGGCAGACAAAACCCCAAAGAGAATAGTTTGTCTTTCACAATGAGAAGAACCCAGGACTCAGAGTCTCTGTCCTCAGCTCCTGCTCCTTCTCTCAAGCACTGTGCTTCCCTCCCGACTGCCCCTTTTCTCTTTCTGTCTCTCTCACAGGGAAGATTGCTTTTGACTGTCCACATGGTTGACCTATATTTTCTATCTTCAGTTCCAGCCCAGTTGTCCCACATATTCATTTCTCCAGTTTGCAGCCTTTACCTGTGTTGCTCTGAAAGTCACATTAGTCTTCCTTGTCTGCACTAAAGTGAGAATCCTCAGGATTTCCATGTGGGGAGGAAGACACGGAAGACTGTGAACTGAATCAAGTCTTAACCGTGTCTCTGGGGGAAGATTAAAGTTATTGAACTGTGTTTCCTTCCCCTTACCTTCCTTTCTTGCTGGGTGTCTGTTTCCCTGCCCCCTGCTGGTGCTGATAGAGGGGACTCTGTTGGTCTGTCCTCAGGTTCCCTGGCCTGTAATGACGGGTGGGTGTTGTGTCTCCATCTGAAGCTGTGCTTTGTGCATTGCAGGCCCTGAAAACAAGGATCAGCAACCTCCCTCCTGTGAAGAAGTTTCTGCAGCCTGGCAGTCAGAGGAAGCCTCCCGTAGATGCAAAAGCATTAGAAGAAGCCAGGAAGATTGTAAATAAATAAAATCTTTATTTATTTTTATTTTAAATAAAGCAGGCATGGACGCCCAGCACATGCAGGACCAATCTTCTGACGTTGTCCAACAATGAAGTGCCTCTACCTAGGTGCAGATCCTGGCTATTGTGAGAATAATAAACTTTTCCAAAATAATTAAACCTCCTATGAGCAGATTTAGTTATAGTTTAATCTTGTTCATTAAGTTCCAATATGTAACCAGATTTTTAATCTCCTTCTATTGCATTTCTCTTGGAATTCAAAATTAAACAAAACATGGAAACGTGGATTATGACATCTCTCATCTTTTCCAGGAATTGTCACATGTCCGTCACAGAGCCCATCAAAGAGTCAAGTATAAAATTCATACCTGACATTCTCAGTTGTTCACAGAAAATAGCTACCCCTCTTGGTAATGGCATAAGAATTTTTTTTTTTTTTTTTTTTTTTTTTACCTAGGAGCTGTTTTCCTTCTGGTAATAAAAATGTTTTGTTTTGTTTTTTGTTATGAGTTTGGTTCTAATGCAATACAACAGTGATATGCCTACTACAGACTTTTTAGTGCATCTCCATGTGCCTACGAGTCACTGAAGGACTTATCTTCCTGTCTTGGGTGTCGCTTTCCCAGCCTCATGCTGGTGCTGATGGAGGGGGCTCAATGGGTCCTTTCCTGGGGGGGCCAACAGACACACAGTGTGTCCTAGGGGGTGGGGAAATGATTTACAAATAAACAGACCCAAGCTCTGCTCTCTGTTGACTCTGTTGTCCTTACAGTCCATGACTCCGTGGCACATCAACGCTCTGCTGCTTAATGCTCGGTGGGGCCCCTGGCTGAGCATTCTCTCAGATCACTCAATGTTGCTCAGACCTGGACTTCCAAGGTACAGATTACATGTATAAATTATAGTTAATGAATGCATATAATATCTTCTTTTCTATTTTTCTGGCCTGTCACTGGGCCAGAGTGACTGGATTAGGAGTGATTTCTAACTTCAGCCACTCTCGGGGCTCAGAATGAACACTCTCCCAGGCTTTGGGCTTCGGCATATTGAGTTCTTCTGCCCACAAGGAGCTTCCTCATAATGTGAGGAGGAAGCTGACAGACACACGGGGCTCCCTGTCTGTAGCTTCAGTTCCACCTCGTCTGCTGTCTCCGTGCAACCAAAATGGTTTTCCTAAAATGTACATTTGAGTATCACCACCTTCTTTAAGTCCTTCAGTGAGTTCCAGGCCTGTGGGAATTCCTCCTCCCATCTGTCCTCACCCCCTCCTTCCCACCTAACCATGCTTAACACCTCACCTCAGTTGTTTCTCTGTGCCTCTCACAGAGCCCTCTAAACTACTAACAAAGCCGAATGCCACTGTGCCTCCTCCACTCTCCTGTGAGGTCCTGGTGTGCGGCATCCCTACCACTTCATCACAAATGGTCATAACACCTTGCACAACTCCACCCACAGCCGCCATTGCCGCCAAACACAACCTCTATGGGAGAGACATAAAGGAGAGAGCCCTGTAGGTATTTTTTCTGTCGGGAGAGACACAAAGGAGAGAGCCCTGTAGGTATTTTTTTCTGTGTTTTTCATCAACAATTAACAACAATTTCGATTCTTCCTTGAATGAGCTGGATTGTGCCGGGGGATCATGACCAGCAGCAGCATGTCCCTTGGAGGTAAATGCTGAGGTCCAGGCCAGCAGGGAGCATGAGGAGGAGGGATTCCACTTCTTAGAGAAGAAGACTCAGTCCATGGCTGTAGCACTGGCAGTGACAGAGGTTTCTAAACACTGGTGACCTATGAAGCCAGGAGGGTGGTGGAGTCATGACTCCGGGTTCTCAGGCCTTTCAGGAAGAGGCTGGGAAAGGAAAGGACCCAAAGGAGCTACTTTTCAAGTTTCAGAAATTACAAGAATAATTACCAGGAACCTGATACCAGCCAGTTACATTTACTGGCCATTTGACAAAGACTTGCAGAGATTGGTACCCAAGATGCTACGGTTCCCTCAAGCATTTTGAGTTAGTACTAAAGCAGCCAGTTTTGTTCAATACAACTACATCTGGGGGGAGGGAGGGTCTCCTCCCTGTTGTGATGGGACCACATGATTGAAACTGTTAGTAGTTACTCAAAACGTTACACGTAGATTTACCATGTCAGCATCTCCACTACGGTACCTAAGTGAATAAGAAATACATTCACACTAAAACTTGTACAAAAATATTTATAAAAGCATTATTCATAATATTCAAAACCTGTACAAAAAACATTCATAAAAGCATTATTCATAATATTCTAAAAGTGGAAACAACAAAAGTGTTCATCAACTGATGAACAGATGAACAAAGTTCTGTGTACCCATGAATGTAATATTATTTGGCCATGAAAAGGAATGAATGTGGATAAGCCTCGAAAACATTATGTTGCATAAAAGAAACCAGACACCAAAGGCTCATGTTGTATGATGTCTTTCACATGAAGTGTCGAGAACATTTCTTTTCATAGAAACAGAAAGCAATTTTGGTTTCCAGGGACTGGGGGACAGTGCGGGGTGGGGAGTGGAGAGAATGTGGAACGCTGCGAGAGCACACAGCATTTCCCTTGGGGGTGTGGAAATATTCTGAAATTAGAGTGCAGTGATGGTACAGAAACCTGTGAATTTATGAAAAATCACAAAATTGTACATTTAAAAAGAGTGGCATTATGGTGTGTGGATTAAATGTCTATAAAATTTTTATCTTTTAAAAAAAAGGAAATAGGAAGCCCAGTTAGGCACAATAAAAACATATCTCCTGGAATATGCACTGGTTGGAAGTATATAAAGAATCACACCAATTCAGAGGATGTTTTAGATGGAGACTTGAGCAGTGCAAAGATGGCCAAAGTTCAGAAACAGCACATGGAGCGGGTTGGGAACTGTGTTCTATGGGAACTGTGTTCTATGGGGACTGTGTTCTATGGGGACTGTGTTCGATGAGAACTCATTGGAAGAACTGCTAATATTGGGCATATAAATGGGCCAGGATGAGAGAGGGAGAGGGACATGACTGAGGTGTCTGTACCAGGGACTCTCTGCTGATTCCTCAGGTGGCAGGCCTCTAGCCTTATGAATCACATGGAGTTTGTGCCCAGAACCAACCACAGCAGAGATGGCAAACCCTAGGTAGCATCTCAGTGGGTACCTGCAATGACTCCACTCTGGACACCTCACTGATGTTCTCTGTCAGTATATTTGGTCATGAGTATAACAAAAATTGTAGATGTATATATCTACCTTAATATGAAATGTTAGAGTTGAGTGAAAATCATAGCTGAATGACTGGCATATAAAAATGCACCCAATGGAGGTGAATTACTTTGCCATCTCCCAATACCCCATTCTCTTACATTTTTAACCTATAACATGTAAGGCAGGTGACAGTCGACAATTGGGTCATTTTTGTCTTTCAGGATTGATATGTATTCAGAAGGTATTGCAAATTTGAATGAAATGACCATGCGTTTCCCACTATTGCCACCTGATGAACAAGATGCCAAGATGATCCAGATCAGAGAGAGAACAACAAACCATTATTTCCCAGCCTTTGAAAAGGTAAGTGGGCTGTTCAGTGTTTGGGGCGCTGAGACTAGAGGACAAAGTAACTGGTGCCTGGGCAGTCCTGGGGATTTGACCTTCACTTCCAATGGGCCCTCCTGACTAGTGATGGAGCACCCTGGCTCTCCAGGGATGTTATCAAAATCAGCTGTGGGTAGGACATGTACCTGTTATACCCAAGTTATAATCTGTCAGCAAAAGTTCAGTTTACTAGGACCCGATTTAGAATTCTCTCTTTGATGGCATTTCATGGCCACAGTTAGAGCCACACTAGCAATTGGAGTAGATCCTGCAGAGCACCATGCAGGGGCTTTTTCATCCAAGAGAAGCAGGAAGAAAGCAACTTATCAGAAAATATGCTGACAACATGCGTAGGAAACATGAGACCAATTGCCCAACAGGAGGATATGGTAATGTTTCTGGGTTGGATGATAGGTATCTAAACAGAGATGGGGGCTGTAGAATGGAGAGGATGTGACTGATGAAAAGATGTTAAGAAACAATCTACAAAATGTTGGGTTGTCAGACTTTAGAGGAAAGCTATGCAAACTAAGGAAATAAAGTTTCATCATTATGTATGTAGTACAGACCATATTTTTTCCCTTTGAAGGTAAAAAAAGATTTTAAGTTCCAAATTTCCTGAAATCAAACTAAATAAAAATTATGGACCAAAATAATGATTGTAAGGACTACAGGAGGCTTACATATAAAAAAGGTTTAACACCAACACCCTCATCTTTATAAAGCATTAATGAAACAGTCTTTCATTCATTTTACAAATTTTAATTCATTATTTATTTGTTCATATTTAATGAACAAATAATTTAATACCAGTCTGAAAATACACCCTCCTGGGCCTTGTGGTGCTGAGAGTTTAGAGGACATTCGCTCAATGACAAGGTCAGCAGGCACTGCAGTTAGAGTATGCTGATACTTTGAAATCAAAGAGCTCCATGGTGACATCAGTTAAAAATGTAAGTTACAAAATAGGTTTTGATGTTATCATAACCTTTACCAAATATTTATCTACTAGAGGCCCAGTGCAAGAAATTCGTGCAGGCCTGGCCTGCGATCAGGGCCATCTTCCCCGGCTGTCAGAAGCCGGCCCTGCCCCCACCTCTGGTTCCCAGTTGTCCCTTGGGCAATTGGAGCCTGCAGCCTGGGGGAGGGACTGGGTGGTTGGTTGTTCCCACCAGCCCTGCTTCTCTTCCCCTCCCCCACGCTGGTTGCCCTCTGTGTGCACTGTGTGTGGGGGGCAACTGGCAGGTTGGGGGCCTTGGTCTGGCACTGCCCACGTCCACTACCACCCACCCCCAGTTCCCCGTTCACCATCGGGAAATCAGAGCCTGCCTACTGGGGGAAGGGATGGAGAGGTTGGCAGGCAGGCCCTATCAGGCGATTGGGACCTGCAGGCTAGGGGCAGCTCCTGCATTGAGCGTCTGCCCCCTGGTGGTCAGTGTACATCAAAGCGACTGGTCGTTCCGCCGTTTGGTTGACTTGCATATTACCCTTTTATTATATTGGATTTTTTATATGCATACATGATCTGAAAGTATATTTGTCAAAATGTTATTATCTTTAGTTGGTGGTACTATGTGTGTTTATTCTCTTTGTACTTTATGATTCCCATATTGCTGGAATATTGTAATAAATATCATATATTTATCTAACCTTTTATTTTGAAAAAGGCCATACATTTAGAATGAACACATGTGCACCCACCACGAAGATACAACCATTAACCTTTCATTATGTTTGCTTTATCATGAGTTTTTATCTCTCAGTCCCTCTCTCTAATAATCAAACATATTATTTTTGGATAAATTACAAAGTGAGTTTCAGGCATCACTGGAGTTCACACCAGACACTTCAGCAGCAGATCATAACATAGTGCAACTTAGGAGATAGAGCCCATGCTGTAATGGAGATGGTGAGTTCAAGTTAACCCAGGTTTGCATAAGATTCCAAAGAGATATATCAGGAAATAAGGAGAGCAGACAGAGGAGAAATGTATACTCTGAAATAGTCTGCTCAGGATTGAAGAAGAATGTCATAGAGATAGATCTTTTCCCAATGAGAGGAGAGAGAGAGAGAGAGAGAGAGAGAGAGAGAGAGAGAGAGAAATGCTAAAGTTCAGGGCTGCAAAGGGTAGGCCCTGGGGCCAAAAGAAACTCAGTGCAGCCAGTGCTAGCTGAGCCCAGTGATATGGGAAAAGGAAAAAGAGATGGTAGCCTGGGCGTCAGCTGAGGAGTGAGGTGTGAACAGCAGAGACCCTCTTCTCTCTGTTTCACTGAGTCAGGGTGATGAATGTGGTCTGATGGTCTGCACCTGCCCAGTAAGACAGCAGAGGTGGGAAGCCAGGCTGGAGAGACCTGGGCAGGAGCAGGGGACCCAGCCTGAGTGCACCTGTGTTCATAACCTGATCCCTCCAATTCACCAGGTGTTGAAGAGCCACGGACAAGACTACATGATTGGCAACAGGCTGAAGGCTGACATTCACCTGGTTGAACTTATCTACCACCATGAGCTAGGACAGAGGCATGGAACAAAGTCTCCCTCAGAGCCATTTGAAGGACTTAATTTTGATGACACCTTGATTTCAGACTTCAGACTTCTAGAACTGTAAGGGAATGAATTTCTGTGGTGCAAGCCACCCAGTCTATGATAATTGTCACAGTGGTCGCAGGAAATGAGTACAATTACTTTGCAATAAACAAGAATGAATACACCCAACAACATAGATGAAGCTCAAAATAATTATGCTGAGTGGAAAATAACACTTCCGCATCTGGGACCCAGACCTTTGCTCTGGCTGTAGCGGAGAAGCCGAGCCTCTTCAGTCTTCAGTCTTCAGTCGTCTTCAGTCTTTGCTCCGCTCCTGCATATGCAAATTAACTACCATATTTGTTGGGTTAATTTGTATACTCATCCTGATTGGCTGGTGGGTGTAGCGGAGTGACACCAATTTGCATGTTTCTCTTTTGTTAGTGTAGATAGAGGAATATGCAAATTGTCTGGGACACCATCACAGTAACGTAATGACCAGCAGACTGCCTGGGGCGACCAGGCCAGTGGGGGGGGGGG